ATTTTGCACTTTTACTAATTTCGATATGTTCTTTTTAACTGTGGTGTCTGATTCCCTTTTCTCTGCTTAGATTAAAATTTTGTCTAACATGCAAGTTGTCCATTGACAAAGACAAGAATGTACAAAAAAGATGACATTAATTCTAATACTGTCATAAACTATTTCCTTAGAATAGATTATTCTAGCTACGGACTAAATTTTGATCTAGGCAAGAAGAACAAAATCCATCACCACAGCTAGAAAGAGCATGTTACAGTTGATTACACATAACTTTTCCCTGAATGTTGCGAACTTCGTTGTGAAGTTCAAAAGTTCATACTGAAATTCACAAGCCGGTTTGTAAACAAAGCCTCTAATTGGCTTATTTTTGTTAAGGGACCAATCAGAGGCTTCGTTTACAAACCGGATTGTGAATTTCAGTATGAACTTTTGAACTTCACAACGAAGTTCGCAACATTCACGGAAAAGTTATGTGAAATCAACTGTAAAATTAGTAAAATTGCAAAGTTTGGTTGCGAAATGTTGTAAAATGAGGAAAATATAGCCCTATATAAGAAATTTGAAAACTTTGCATTAATTTGTATTACGCGCGGGAAAATGCACCACATTTGGGGGCCGAAAGTGGCGCATTTTCCCGTGCGCAATACAAATTAATAGAAAATTTGCAAATTTCACAGATCTATATCTTCCTAATTTTACAACATTTCGCAACCAAACTTTGCAATTTTACTAATTTTAACATGCTCTTTCTAGCTGTGCTGATGGATTTTGTTCTTCTTGCCTAGATCAAAATTTAGTCTGTTGCTAGAATCTTTCATTACTAGTTGCTTTGAGGGCAGTCGCTTATTTTCTCATCACAGTCACTGACTTAAAAAGATAATGGAAGCGCTGTTTACACTAGATTTACCTGCGTACAAGTTCTTGTGCTTTCGATCTCAATTCTTTCTGTGTATCTTTCTCCTGGGGATCCTGGGCTAGAACCAATACGATTGGTACATCCTCGCTCAGGATGTCATCTGATTGGCCGACAGTTCTCTCCAGGTATGTCTCCACGTAGTTGTAAGACTCTCGCGAGGAAAACACGCAACACAAACCTAGTGAATAAATTAATTTTCAATCAACAACGTGAAAACCAGTTTCGGTGTATATTGATCCATACGTACAAATTAGATTACAAATATGTACATTAGAAACAAACTAGCCAATCTTTTGTTCCTTTGTGGCTCATTTGCGCGAATTACTTGTTACCAATCCATGCCATTAGAGGTTTTTTCCATGATTTTTCGCTAATTATGACCATCATTCCGCTAATTATGACAACAGTTTCCCGAGGCCTGTAACAATGACGTCATCATACCTGTAGTGCTGATGTCATCCAGATCGGCGAAGGTATCTGATTCATTCTCATCATCCTCTACGACCTTGATATCCAGTTCGTACAACTTGTTCTCAAACGGATACTCCATATGTTCGCCATAGCAACGTTTCTAAAATCGCAAGGTTCCGTGTTTAGTTCATTGAGTTTCTCACCCATTGGCGAGCGGATTTCCCAAAAGGCTATCGCCCAATTTAGACCTTTCCCCCTTTGAGTGAAATTTTGATCTAGACAAGTCTGGACAAAAATTTCATCACAGCTTGAAAGAGCATCACAAAATGAGTAATATTCCGAAGTTTCGTTGCGAAATGTTGTAAATATGCGGATAATATATAGCCTTGCGAAGTTTGCCGTTTTTCAGTCATTTTGTATTACAAACGGGAAATTGATAATCAGATCATCTGATTATCAATTTCCCGTTTGTAATACAAAATGACTGAAAAACGGCAAACTTCGCAAGGCTATATTATCCGCAACGAAACATCGGAATATTACTAATTTTGTGATGCTCTTTCAAGCTGTGATGACATTTTGTCCAGGCATATCTAGATCAAAATTTCACTCATAAGGGGAAAGGTCTATTGATAGGGGATACGAGGCACCTACTGTACGATTTAATTAACGTCCTTATCCGAGAAGACGCGAAAATCTGACCATTTACTGATGTCAATGTAAAGGAAGCTCTTTCCCCTCAATTATTTTAAGACCTTGATGGGAGTTGGGGGTTTGTCTCCCCCTGCCCTCCTCCCTAGTGTGTGTGTGTGTGTGTGTGTGTTTGTATGCAATTGAGTTCAGTGGACTTACCTCGGCGCCTTGAGCGAATTCTTTAGCCAGGCCATTGACACCAACCACAATCAACGTAACAAGACTGTCATCTGATTCAAATGTATCACAACTTCCAGTAAGGAATGATGACAACGGTCTAAACAATAAAAAAACAACACCCTTTTCAATCCATCAAAATCACCTTGCTACCAAGAGCATTCCTTCCCGGAAAAGCGTGGTGTTACTAGGCTGAATGAGACAGGGCTTGCAGACAGTAAATGCCATTTTAATTTCGTTATCTTGTCTTTTTACCTGTCTAGAAGGGATTACGTTTTAAGCCCTTCTAATCTTCAGGAAATAATTAATATTGTGTACAAGGGGCTACTTATTGCTATAGTAATGTTTCGTCAGTTCTTTTATTAGAACTGATGCACAATTTTCGAGACTAGGAAATTAGCAATTAAAGGTTGGTAAGGCCTATATAATTAATTAAATGTCAAAGTTTAGATGAACAGATTATATAACAGTTAAGTTCCTGTGAAGATCGATATCTGAATGAGTTTGTTTGGAATCAAGTTTGATTTAGGTCGACTGAAATAGCAAAACAGATCGGTTCATGTGACCATTAAAATTTGGCTTTAAATGCATTTCGTATAATTATTTTGTGAAATTTTAAAACATCATTCAAGTTAGCAAAATTGGTATGCTTGATAATTGTTGGAAGTTGAAGATTTAAAGTTTCAAGCGAAAACAAGTATTAATAAAACTGTTAAAATCAGGACATTGCATTTGAGTTCAGCATGACAAGTTCAGCAGTTAGTAAGATCATTAAAATATAAGAATATTAATATAGATTTTAGTTGTTTCAATTGACCATTTGCGTAATAGACTAAATTTTGATCTCAACAAAAATTTCATTACAGCTTGAAAGAGCATCACAAAATTAGTAATATTCCAAAGTTTCGTTGCAAAATGTTGTAAAATGCGGAAAATATAGCCTTGCGAAATTTGCAATTTTCAGTCATTTTAGATTACAAACCGGAAATTGACAGCCTCGAAGGGTTTGAGGCTGTCAATTTCCCGTTTGTAATCTAAAATGACTGAAAATTGCAAATTTCGCAAGGCTATATTTTCCGCATTTTACAACATTTCGCAACGAAACTTTGGAATATTACTAATTTTGTGATGCTCCTTCAAGCTGTGATGAAATTTTTGTCTAGACTTGTTTAGTTCAAAATTTAGTCTATTACGCAAATGGTCAATTTGCATACAGCGTGTCACATGAAAAACGCAACAGCTATGCGCCAGAATTTTGCAAACAGAAAATTGGTTTAACTCATTTTGGCGGGCATTGTGCCTCATATCGCTTTTGTATTATAAATGAAGCGAACAACTTCAAAAATTTTATGTTTTGCCATACATGTTGAAGATTACCACAAACTGACGCAAACTTGACAAAAACGCCACTTGCTTAAGTTCACTAATATCAGGGGTTCAAATTCTGAAAATTTTTTAGTCGCCCAAAAAGTGGCTTCAATTGAATAGGTAAGATCTGGTCGCCAGATTTAATATCAGGTCTCCCCAAATCAATATGTTGTGACGAAGTACTCTCTTTTTATGGCTTTTATGTATACAGATAACACAAAAACAGTTGTTTAATATGTTGGCAAATTACATTCAAAAGTAGAATGAATCAAGTATTTACTTGATTACTTTAATTAATATCATTTTAAGATTTTTCCTCAGTTGCCACGAAGGCGACCTTGGTACCTTTGGCAGATATCTGGTCGCCAGATGAGAAATTTGCTCGCAATTGGCGACATGGCGACCGGTTATTTCAACCCTTGAGTTGTATAGCCTATAGTGTTTATGAATTATCATTGGCTAAGTGGTCAGGTCAGACAATAATCCACAGATTTCATGCTGATATTTAATTAATAGTTAGAGCTTTATAATGGCCTCCAGCAGCTGGGAGAATACAAGCACGGGGAAGCATTGTGAATCGAAGATTCTAGATATTTGACATAGGCAGGAAATAGCAGGCACGATGACGCCAGCATTGTATCCTCTCGGCTATTCCCAACATGGCCGACATTTGATCTCCATGTATATACCTGGAGTGATGTGCCACTAAAAGTAAAACGGTGCAGATCGATTCGAAAACTTTGCATGATTTTATATTATTTATTGATCGTTCTCTGATATTTAGTATGCAAAGAACGTTCAATAAATAATAGAGAGTTTGAGCAAGACAACGAAGTACGAAGACGTACTTGACAATTTTTGCTGTCTGCACATCACTGGTGGTTGTTCAGCGTGTCTTTCCGTGTGTCGCTGTTTATGAATACTGACCATAATTCTTGCTCTGACCCAGAAAAAAACAGCGAGGCATGAAACTATATCCCGTCTTTGTCCTTCTGCCTTCGTTCGGAACGAAGTTCACAGCGACTTTTTCCAAAATATTCGTTGTGAACGAAGGCAGAAGAACGAGGACGGGATATGGATTCATGTCTCGCTGTTTTGTCCTGATCAGGGTAAGAACTTGGGTCAGCATTCATGAAAAGCAAGACACGAATCTCTAATCTGTCTTCACCCCTGACCCTAAACTCAGAATGCACAAGATAATGTGCAAGACAGGCACAGATTGTCAACCACGTCGTCGTCGTCCGACTTTGTTCTCTTGCTCAAACTCTCTAATGTTTCAACCTGGCTACGCATCCTCTATTTTTTCAATGATTTTATATACTAAAGAGTTTAAGATTGAAAACAATCAAAACGAGTCTTCTTTGCTTATAAAGCCTGGTTACACTATCAAAGTTTCTGTGATCACAGTAGGAATTTTGCATGTAGGATTTTGAATTTTGAAGGATTTGCAAACACCAGTTCCCTCAATTGCTCAAACATTTCTTGACACTTCGGTATTTTTAAAATTTAATTTCTCAAAGAGAATAGGTGCTATTATCTCTATGCTTTGTGTAAATCGGCTTTCAGATTTTACACTACATATTTATAATATTTTCACAGGTATTTGACAATTAAACGGAACCAATCCTCGCCACATTGCTGTAACTTTTAAAAGAACCATTGGGCGTAAGAATGCTATGTTAATGTGGTTTAAATTTCCAGCGGTGTTGCTGGTTCGAAATTCAAAAACATTTCCCTAATTCACTGTGACAAAGTTATCGACTCGTCGAGATCTCAGCACGCGAGGTCGTTGTTTTTTAATGTTCTGTGTTAAATATTCATTTCCTGAGAAGAGGGATAAGCCCCGTGCTTTGTTCCACGATCTAATTAAATTTGGCCTTAATTATTAAAAGTATTTGAATAATGACTGTGCACCATAGTTGACATACTTGAGATATTAGTATTGCATGCCTTGATATATTTCCTCATCTGAGAGGATCTCTGCAGGTCTCATTTCCCGGACAATTTTTTGCTATTTGGCAAAATGACATGCATAGTCGTTTTCAATTGTCAACATAAAAGAATATTCTTGAGTCTTGACCAGTTTCACCAATGCGTTGGCTTTTAAAACACAATATTCTGCTTTCCATATAGCTCTCTTTCGAAATAACTTCACGAAGAAAAAGTTTAAAGTCTACAAATACTTCTCATTTTTGTCACATACTGGACATACACAAAAATGTGACCTCGAACTGAATGGCATAGGGCAGAATTCAATCTTTCAGGGCATTTTAAGACAAACTCTCAATCAAAAGTTTCGATATAGCTCTCTTTAGTAATAACCTCACGAAGCAAAAGGTGTAAAGTCCGCAAATATTTCTCATTTTTGTCACCTACTAGACATGCACACACAAGTATACGACCTCGAACTGGAAAAGGGCAGAATTCAATCTTTCAGGACATTTTAAGACAAACTCTCAATCAAAAGTTTCTTCGTAGCTTTCCTTGAAGTTATATCTAAACTGCACAACTGTCTTTATAATGGTATATATGGATTTTCCCTTTCCCAATAACCCAAATCCAGTTAACCAGTTTCCCAATCCAATGTACGGCTCCATTCTGGTCATACTATCTAAGCTTATAATTTTGTACAAATGTTCGTTGTTCGGTTAATTGTTGGTTAATTTATCTCTTCCTGGTACAATTTCCTGTGTTTGATGGTCAATTGGTCATGTTATCGTTCACTTCCACTATAGCTACCGCTCAAAAATTAATGTGTCTGAAAAAAATTGACTTTAATGCTAATTATCGTTTTCCCGCCAAGCATATGGACGTGTTTAATTTGAAATATTTTAATTTAAAATTTTCAACATTTTACAGTTCTAGGGTATCCTGTAATCTGTGAGATGCTCATGTGCGGAAGTGGGAGTAAAATCTGAACCTTTCTATTTATTTCTTGATTTAGTTTATATTTTAGTTGTAGTCATAGCTAAGATTAGGGTTAGGGTTAGATTAGGGTTAGATTAAGATTAGAGACTGGGTTAGGGTTCAAATTAAGGAACTATTGGATGGCTCAATGGACCTTTAACCTTATAACTAAAATTTTGATCTAGACAAACACTTTCACAGCTTGAAAGAGCATCACAAAATTAGTAATATTCCAAAGTTTCGTTACGAAATGTTGTAAAATGCGGATAATATAACCCTGCGAAGTTTGCAATTTTCAGTCATTTTAGATTACAAACGGGAAATTGATACCCAAATCGGGGGTTTGGGTATCAATTTCCCGTTTGTAATCTAAATTAAAATGACTGAAAATTGCAAACTTCGCAGGGCTATATTATCCGCATTTTACAACATTTCGTGACGAAACCTCGGAATATTACTAATTTTGTGATGCTCTTTCAAGCTGTGATGAAATTTTTGTCTAGACTTGTCTAGATCAAAATTTTTACATATAGTCCAATCGTTCATATAATTCAAAATGACCTACACTCATTGTTTCCCGCCAAAGCAGGTCATTTGCCGCATTATTGAGTTTACCACAATAAAAGTTCGATGTTTGAAATCAGTTCTCGTTGTATTGACGTCATTGTCATCGGGCAATACAATCACGTCGTCGGAAGTACGTCGCCATAGGTCTACTACGACTATATTTCCTTTTGGAGACGGAGCAAGTGTGTTTCAGCGTGTAGGTTCGACTCTCTCGTTGCCCACTCATGTGACAAAGTCTGTCAACGTTCTGCCGCGTTAAAGGGGCTTAAAGGTGGCAAAATAGTAACTTCCTCCCATAACATAAATTTGTGCATTTTTTTCACTTTTTAATTAATAAGCGCTAAAAACTGAACATCGGCTGCAAAATATACTACTCGCTATATACTACTAAATTCTATAAAATATACTACATATAGTATATTTTATAAAATATACTACATATAAAATATACTATATATAGTATATAAATATGCTACTAAATTCTCACATTTCCAGCTATAAAGCCAAAGTCAGAGGGGCCAACAGATATAGATTAAAGTCTTAGCTTGACTTGTTTTACAATGTCTAAAATCTAAGAAAAAGCTTGTAACTGTTTTTGCAACATTTTCTGGTGTCGGCTGGGCCGTTAATAAAATGATTTATTTAAAATTCTACCATGACGTCGCATGGACTATTTACAGTGTGAATATCTGTGAAAATCTTCCATTATTCACAAATCTGCTCAATTGTTTACAACATTCCAATGCTATAGACTTTCATGACCTGCAAATAAACCAGCTGGTTATGTCGTCAGACCCCTGGAGTGGATAATGTCCGCAATGTTGAGAAAATAATAAACACTGCTGACTTTCTTTGTAAACACAATGATTGTGCATCACGTTTCATAATAACAGTTGTAAGTGGTTAAGTTGGGCACAAGAATGCCTGTAATGACTACGTCCTAGGAATGGACCATTCCCCAATTAACCAAAATTTTGATCTCAACAAGTCTAGACAAAATTCCATCATAGCATGAAAGAGAATCACAAAATTAGTAATATTCCAAAGTTTCGTTGCGAAATGTTGTAAAATGCGGATAATATAGCCTTGCGAAGTTTGTAATTTTCAGTCATTTTGTATTACGCACAGAAGTGGTAACCATTTCCCGTTTGCAATCTAAAATGACTGAAAATTGCAAACTTCGCAAGGCTATATTATCCGCATTTTACAACATTTTGCAACGAAACTTTGGAATATTACTAATTTTGCGATGCTCTTTCAAGTTGTTATGAAATTTTTGTCTAGACTTGTTGAGCTCAAAATTTTGGTTAATTGGGGAATGGTCCATTGACGGATTTTGTAAATGGAAATTTTAAAGTGAAATTTAAACATTTATTAGACCTATATAACCAGTTGCAACTATAGGCCCTCCGGTTCTGGCAGGAATCAAACTTGCGACCATTTTTCCTGCTGAAACTGAAAATGGCGACATTTACACAAGCTCCTAGCCAACACACATACAAACACACCTGTGAGAGGCTGTGACCATGCAAACATGTTGTAGTATCAGTGTAACTAGGAATGATTTTGATAAGTTGATTAAAAATAACGTAATCGAAATGCCAAACACATGTTTAACTAAAAATATATAATCAATATAATCGAATGTTGTTTGGTTCACGAAATGCCAACGAGTGTTCGATATCATATAGATAGAGTAGATATAGTTATTTATTTATTAATTTTACAATCATACAAAAAATTATAACAATGATTGAAGGTATGGTCAACAGGACATGAGTCCCATGTAAAGACCAACCTGATACAATACAATAAGTAGACATACATTAAAGACAAGGACTAGAACACTATTTACATAGCTATATAAAAATTCATAGTTTAGATTATGAGCAACAGCTTAAGTTGAAAGAACGGCATTTAGAGCAGTAGGTTTTCCAAGTGCGCATAATTCTGTTAACATCGAAAGAAGAGTCTAATTGAGAAGAGCAGTGAGAATGGAGCTGGAGCATAAAGGATGAAACAGAAGAACTGTTACGAATGATCGGAGAGAGATTGTTCCATAGGAAGACAATTCGGTTAAAAAAAGGATTTCTAACACAGGCTGTTTCATCCAAGATGAAACAGGCTGTTATGGCAACATTTTGAGGTAAAACAACTAATCAATATAATCAATATTTTGACTATTTGTGTCCAATATTTGGGACTGTTCATGATAATTTCTGGCTGTTGCCCTCGAGGTTGCCCACCAAATGCACACTATTTTATTATTTTACTCTGTCTAATGCCAGATGATTTACTTGCCAAAGGGAGAGACTTGCACTTTAACAAGTTAACTATCTGGCAATGTGTCTTGTTAACCCATTAATTAGGCTGTAATGCACCCAATTTATTATTTTACTCTGTCTAATGCCAGACAATTTTACTCATCACAGAGTGAGTCTTGTGCTTTAATGGGTTAATAATTTATTCTGAAGAGTTGTGTTGAGAGCGCTGCACTGGAATCGCAGGGCGCTGGTTCAATTCATACCACAGGGCTTATATACTGTACAGTAATTGTCCTGGCGAGGTCTAATAAATGTTACTGTATGAAATTTAAACTGAAAAAAACCTTCAACAATTGGTTCTATCAAGTGAGAGGCCAGGAATCCTGATAATTTATTCTGTCTAACACCAGACAATTTCATTTTTTTCTGTGTTGGTGTTGTGTACTCAGGTGAATATGATATTTGTGATGTTACTCTGAGTGTATATCCACACAGGGCAAGCTTGAAAAATATGCCCAGCCAGGGTGGGATTCGAACCTACGACCTTTGGAATACTAGCTAGCCCAATGCTATTCCAACTGAGCTACGCGGTCAGGACGGTTCGAGTAAGTGATATTTCGGAACAGAATCTAGTTCCTTCGGGCCAGGCATATTTTTCAAGCTCGCCCGGTGTGGATATACACTCAGAGTAACATCACAAATACCAAACAATTTCATTCGAACTTTCAGAGTAGGTTTATTGAACAAAATGTCCAGACAGTATTGCTGTTTACTAATTAGCATATGCCCTTGGAAAGAGGAAATTAATAACTGTTCTAAATAACACACAACATTGTGTAAACAGGGCAAATTACTGTATGGGGGCAGATGAAATTTTTTATGCAAAATATGTCTGTAGTCTTGCATTTTAGGTAAACAAGTTGTAAAGGGAACAATAAGAGCAGACAAAAATATTGAACAAAAATTTTAAATTAATTTTCAATTTCTGTCCACAAAACATTGTTGAAAAAGACCATTTTTTGGGTGCATAATTTTGGGCTTAAATCCTTAAAGGTTACTAAGACACATTGGCGAATGGTTTGGTTAACGTTTACTGTTCAAGACTCTCCATTTGATAAGTAAAATCATCTGGCATTACACAGAGTAAAATAACAAAGTAATTAAGTTTCAATGATTCATTTAAAATTTAATTAAAAAGCTACACGTATATGTTATAGATCTATAATTTTTTATATGTTAGATCTAAAATTACTATGGACAGTTTAAAATTAATCTGCTAAAAAGTAGATAAAGCAAGCTAGAAACATGTTTACATATTTCTTCAAGTGGGTATTTTTTTCGAAGAAAACTGAGACTAAAATAGTAATTTACGCATGATTTGATCTGAATTCTAGTATCAAAATAGTAATGCACAGTGAATAGTATAAAAATTACACTATGCGGCAAAAAATTGCCGCCGTTGCCGCAATAATCCATATTTGCATTTTGTTCTTCCTCTACGGCAATTGCCGCGATAAAATTCAAGCCCTGATATAGAGTTATCTATATTTTCCCTTTATATCCTATTTAGCATATCAAACTTATAGTTTATAGAGCTATAGACAGTTTAGTATTTTGCAGATTCACTATACCATAGGAAGCAATTTTGTATAGGGGGCTGATTAGTCAGGGGCAATTGTTAGGTCATAATTTCCCTCTCAAGCTTTACAGATTAGATTGCTAGTTTACATATTATTGGGGGGAGCCCCCCCTCCCGTGTCTACGGCCCTGAGATTGAGACAGACACAACTACATGAGAAATACAAGCAGAACTGTGACATTTTGGGGAAGGTGCTTCGTTGGCGAAGGGCCTTTGTTGGCAAATGGCTTTTGCTCAAAACATTGAAGTTTTATCTTTCTCAATCAGCAGATTTTGTCATTTCATATCATGAAAAAATTAGGGTCGGTAGGTCGGAAATTTTGAATATTTTTTTCATGGTTTTGGCGTTTTTTTGCTGGACGATTTTCAGTACAGTCCCGACATCAATATTAACTAGAGATGTGTAAATCCTATGGACAAATTTAGGCAATTTGGTTCAATAATTAGTGTGGCAACAGACGCCATTTTGGCACGCTGTAATTGAGCAGCCCACAACCGCCTGGAGAAAATAGAGTTGCACAGTCAATTGCATTGAAAAAATAATAGGGTCGGTCAGGAACCAGAACCACAGGTATTTTTTTCAGGAACTATGGGTTGAGTCAACCCTTACAGCTGTTTGAGGCATGCATATAAAGTTTGAGAAAATAAAAAAGTATCACACAATCAATAATGCATAACTTTTTCACACAACTATAAAGCCCAAACAATGGAAACGTGGCAATTAATGCATGTGAAATTAATGTTACACTCCGAGGGGGTAGACACTTTAGAAAATTGTTTATATTCATTTATTTAATTAAACGTATTATTACTAATATTTAGACATACTTTTTCAATTTGAGATCAACAAAATTAATATAAACTTATAATAATGCATTAGAATATTGCTTAAAATAATATATTAGGTGTATAAAATCAATAAAAAATTCGGACAAAGACAGGCCAATATCACTTTGGTATGCTAACAAATTAGCGTGCATGACTTTCTGATGCTTCGAGACGCATTTAATATATTGGCCAAAATTTCCCACACATAATTTCACATAACTAATACTATTTGTCGGCATTGCTTAATAATCTATCAGAAATTTTTAGTTTCAATTCGATTAATTAAATTGGCTAAATACCATGTGGAATGCAAGTGAAGCAGCCAAAAAGCAGGATCAAAAATGACAATTTAATATAATAAAGCTATCATGAGAGTATTATACCACAAGGCTGGTCTGGTTTACAAAGTTTCTGCGATCAGTGTTATGAACACAGAGTCATGCAGTTCCCTCACACATTTCTCACAAATCCTTCAAAACTTAGAATTTACCTATGCAAAATTCCTACTGTGATCACAGAAACTTTGATAGTGTAAAATGGCTTATACAGTACAGTGTCCTCATTGCAAAACATAAAAATTGATACTTTTGATTCGGTATGATTTGCCTCGAAATTGCAACTACGTGAACGGAATTGGAACGTTCTGTCGAAAATAAAATGGCGCTCAAATATTTATTAATTTCCATTCTATAGTTTATAACAACAATTTTATACAGGATATATCTACTTAGTGACACATGCGTTTTTCCGACACTACGGACTTATCTTAGAGCGAAATCAAAACAACGCGAATGTTTCCTTCAAAGACGAAAAATTAACGCCATATTCGGCGCAAATGTAAACAAAAAATAATGTTGAAATCGACAAGAACGGTGACTGACACGCGACCGATATCTTGAACAAGTCAATTTCAGTTCAAAAGCGCCGACACAATTTTTACATAAATGCCTCTTAAAACTGATTTTCTTCCTTAAATACGCGCCTACTATTTATTTAAACGGATTACAACATAGTAAAGAACGTTTGTATTTTTGAACCGGGTCGCTAACGGTTCAATTTGTACATTTCTTGTCTTGGAAAGCCATTTAGTGATTTAGGTGCCAAATTTCGAACATTCCAAAATGTAGATTTCACAACATATTTTCATCACTCAGTGAAAATATTACAGTTTCTAATATTTCATCAGTAAATATTGACGGTCTACGCGAAATTTCGATAAATTTAATAGGAACAGCTAAATATTGTCATTAAACCAGACAGTATTAAAAGCCCCGCTATGGCAAACACGAACAAAACATTTAAGATATGTTGGATTTCATTGTCGGCTCAGGACTATGGAATTCCAATGGTTATTATATGAAAGGCTAAACTATTAACTATTTCGTTAAATTTTTCACCGCCGAGACCGCTACTCTCTATTTATAATTCAATCAAATGTTGGGTGGGAGTTTATAAAAGCATGTTAGTGAACGATTAATGATCAAAAAATAAATTAGTGGATTTTAGCAGATGGCGATATAAAGTTCACAACTACGGTGTTTATATACAGGAACAAGCACGTTTCCATTTACTGTCATTTTACCACTATGTGAAACCTAACACAACAGACATAAATATTATAAAATTTCACGTACCGTTGATCAGTTGTAGCGACTACATCTTGTATGAGTGTATCCATACATTTTCCCTCGCCAGCCAAACATCGCGTCGGACTGTGTATGAGGGCAATATGATTCCAGAGTAAAGTGTCCCTTTCGTTTGGCAAATTATCAAAACGCCGATAACGTTCATCTTTCTGCAATTCGTTGCGAATTTGATGCAATTTTTCAACGGTGGGTCGGCAAGACGGACCAAAGTTTGCAAACAATTTCGCAGATTCGAAAAGCAATTCTTGTAAATCGATGCGACCCTGTGCTCTAATCTCCCCTTGATATTTCTCGAAGATATCCAATTTATCGTTATCGCTAAGATACTTGTAGCTTTCCTCGTTCTTTAAGAGCAAAACGGCATCGTCCCAAGGAGTCCCCGGCTGTATTTGGGGTGTTAGTTGGAGCAATCTTTTGAACTCTTTTCTCATTCGAGAACACAGCTCGGCCTCTCTTAATTTTTCGACATGTTTCGTAAAACAAAGCTTCGCCTCGTCGGAAGCAAGGACATCAAAAGGCACTAGAAAATTATGACTGATCAAATTCTCGCTATCCTGCCACGAACTACCGTTGGATAGTTCTGTGAACCATTTATCAAAATACACATGATCCTTGATGGTCGCCTGTCCCTTCGTCCAGTCCTGCTGAAATGCATCGACGCTCTGAATCGTCGGGAAAAAATCGTTTAAAGATGCTGGAATTTTAATCAAATACTCCGCTAACTTAATATCTTCTGCCTCTTTTTTTAAGCGGCGTATATGCTTATTAAATATCTTTTTACATGTATCGATTCCAGACAAATCTCGCACTGCCAAATACTCTGGCTCCGTCTCGAAAACCTTTTTCGTGTTTTTCCAAATTGATTGGAAATTATTCACTTGCTTCTCGACAAGTTTTTGGTAACTATCTAAAGCGTTACTGATCTTTTCCCTGTGGCTTTGAACCGCCTCGCTGTAAGGAGTAATTCTCGAACGAATTCGACCCTTCTCGATCAGCTGAGCTAGCAATAAAAATACCAAATCGACGTTTACATTTTCCTCGGCAGAACATTCTATGATCGGTACGTTCGTAAGTTTTTTGCTTGTGAAAAGTTTATGACAGTCGTCTAGCGAAGTCTTACGCAGATCGTCACATTTCGTAGCCGCAACTACGATCGGCTTTTTCGTCTTTTGCAAAACAGTCAAGAGCGAAGCGTACAACATTTCTTGATCCTCAGCCTTGCCTCGCGACGATACGTCGTAGACACAAACAAACCCGTCAACATTAAATTTACCGCCAGGCAGTTGAACTTGTTCATAGTCATTCTGTAGGGCTACTTGATCTCGACTTATGTACATCAACTTCTCCTGTGATTGGAGTTTAAGGGCAGTACAACGTTTCACGTACGAAGTGAGTTGCCCTCCTCGGTTTAACGTTGTAAAGCTAGAATCTTCAATAAATTCCGTTTGTTCTATGAGCTGAAATGTAAGATCTGTTCCATCGTCCGACTGTTTAATAACGCTACCCCAATATAAATAGTGATCGTTGTTTATAACACGGCTCGCAAAGTCCGTAGAACTATATATTGATGAGTGTTCATATATGTACTCGTCTGCGAGAGGCCGTACGAATCTATTACAAAGACACGATTTTCCAACGCCGTACAGGCTTTTCTCGTGGTCTAAACCCGATAATCCTATGACACCGACATTAAATGTCCTCCCACTTTCGGCCTTCTTCGACATTGCGACCGTACGGTGTGTTTTTATAACGAAATTGAACGCCAAACGCTCGTCAACTCGTTTTATATTTTCGCCCTCTCGCCATGTTTATGTGCTATAAATACCATTCCCAAAGCCAGCAGGTCATGTGACCAACCGCAAGCGCCATATTTGGTATGCCATTGTTTTGCTTTTCATTCCGTGGACACACGCACACGTGTGAGCCAAAATGAATAATTTTCGATTCTTCGACAAAAACAAATAAAAATCTACACTATTTACCGTATATTTTAATAGAAAAGTAGCCAAGGAATTCTTTAAAACATTTTCCCTTAATATCTTTCTAAAATTTTCCGATTTAGCGGTAAATTTGGCCGCTTTTTGCCAACGCTAAATGCATGACTTGGCCGAAATAAAGAGGGCTTCTCATGCCGCCCGCCGTCAACTAATAGCCTCAAACTGCGCTGAAGAATACTGCATAAATAGGTATTCAATTCAACAGGCAATAAAGAAGCTTTTTATTATTTGCGAATAAAGATTTTATCTGCCAATTTTATATAATGCTTCCCGGCTATAAAAAGATATTTTTGTATAGAAATTATACAGGGGCAAAAGAGAACGAAAGAATTAATTATAGAAAGTAGGATGGGCTATTTGAGTGTTACTATTGTGGCAATATCGCCATTGGCCAAAGTTAAATAAAAATAACTTTTGCTGGCAAATTCCGGGGTAGTTATTAATAATAAATAAGTAGACATTTTCAATTTCGAGTTTAATTTTAATCGGTACGTATACTTCTTTAAATAGGCGTGCATGGATCAATGGTTGCATTGAAAACTGTTTTAGTTTCATGATATATATGGCCAAATTATACGGTTTAGTGAAAGAGCTATATTAAAGGGAGATAAGCCAAAACAATAGCTAGGGGTAATTTTAATGATGTATTATGTGGGCCAAACGATTTCAATGGATTTGCTTCTTCAGTGCCAGTATTATATTGAAATATCCAGCAACGCCAAACTTCAATTTCATTGTCCATGAAAAAAGAATACAAAAAATCACAATGAACCGAGTTCTGGACATACTGTTCGAACTAGTTATAAAAATTTGGACACAAATCAATAATACACTACAGTACACCTTTGCATGATGACGTCATATGGGTCTTCAAATAAGCAGATTAACTTCGTAGAGTTGAGTTGCAGGTGGTAAAAGTTTAATTGTTTTGGTTTTTTTGTGCAAAACGTCACGTTTCATTTTCATTCGCAAATAATCATATGAATTATAAAGAAAATAAAAATGAAATTTTCCGGTATGTACATATGTAGGTATATGCATGTATATATCAAAAGACCCCAGTTTACATGTTCCCCACGTACGTCCACGGTTTTATGGCTTTGTTCCAGTCCCATTGCATAAATAGTTCAAACTATGCCTTGTTTCCTAGAAACATTCGGAAAGGCCTTCTACAAGTCAATGACATAAATTCAATTCAACATTGAATTTGTCATAAATGACATGAGAAATTTGTACTGTACAGAGCGAAAGGTAGTCTCAATTAGTCATAGCCTATATGATCCCTATGATGCAGCTACGATATTGAACATATGATTCTTGGCGCCATTAGTCGAGTTTGACGTCATTGCATACTGTTTGTTTAATGTCATCGGTGAAATGGTCAAAGACACTTTATCCGATACAATTAGGGCACGTGGGCAACATACGACAAGTTAAAGAAAGGGTATTTTGTCCCAATTTAGCTGAGATAAGTTATATAGACATCGGGCGGCAGTGAGCCCACACTTCCTACAGGATACCAAGGAAAATTACTAGGTCATTTAGACGAGAGTCTAGTAAAACTGTCTTTCATTATATACGTAGTAGTTGCCATTGGTTACAACATAGCAACCCGAGCAATGATGCACCTTTGCCCTTTCTAGAAAGGATAATTTGATCTATTATGAACGATTAAAGCTATATTTGAGTACACCGATTCAGTCATATATTAGCTGTCTTGAATAATCTAACCACTAATATAATGGCAAACGCGTTAATGACCTTGTAGGTAAAACTTTTACTGTCGTGTGAACTTACTTTATAATTATTGATATTGAATGGCTCTATCATATCAGTTCTCGTGCAATTTGTTCTCCCAGAAAGATCCAGTACTTTGTTGTCGCCGTACGGAAGGAAACCTAATCTGGGAGATCAGTTCTAAACTGTTCTCCCTATAGAGGTCCAGTAAGGGCCATCCTCTCTGTGTTGCTATACTACTTAACTATCTTTTATCATACTGGATAGCTCTATCAGTTCCAAACTGTTCTCTCTTGAGGTCCAGTAAGGATAATCTCGTGTTAATATTGATTCTGTGTTGCTACCGGAGAAACCTAAACTAAACTAACTTTATTTATCCTGCATGGATAGCTCTATCAATTCTAAACTGTTCTCTCTAGAGGTCCAGTTGGAGTCATCTCTTATTTGATCCAGTGTTACTACAGGAGGAAACCTAAGCTAAAGTATAGACTTTATTTATACTGGATAACTCTTTCCTTCTAAACTGTTCTCCCATCTCTTATTGAACCAGTGTTACTATATATGTACAGGAAACTAAACTTACTTCATTTATGCAAGGATATATAGCTTTAGTAAGGATCGTATATGCATCCCTTCTTGATCCATGCAGTGTTACTACAGGAGGAAACTTAAAACTAAACTAACTGTATTTATACTGGATAGCTTTACAATTTTAAACTGTTTTCCCTAGAGGTTCAATAAGGAACATCTCTTATTGATCCAGTATTATACAAGATGAAAGGCATGAAAGGCTAACTTTGTTTATAATGAATAACTCTATCAGTTCTAAACCGTGTTCTTCAGTCTTCAGGAAGAAACCAAAATGAACTGATCCTATTTATACAGAATAACTCTACTGCTGAAATCGGTTCTCCTTGAAAGTTCAGTAACGATACCATCTCTTATTTGTGCTACAGAAACCTAAACTAAACTAATTTTATTTATACTGGATAGCTCTATCAGTTCTAAACTGTTCTTCCTAGAGGTCCAGTATGGATCATCCCTTATTGATCCAGTGTTACTACAGGAGGAAACCTAAACTAAACTACTCATTATTTATACTGGATAGCTCTGTCAGTTCTAAACAGTTCTTCCTAGAGGTTCAGTAAGGATCATCCCTTATTGATCCAGTGTTACTACAGGAGGAAACCTAAACTAAACTAACTTTATTTACACTGGATAGCTCTATCAGTTCTAAACTGTTCTTCCTAGAGATCCAGTAAGGATCATCCCTTAATGATCCAGTGTTATTAGAGGAGGAAACCTAAACTAAACTGGCTAATATTAAATATTTATCGTACTAGATAGCTCAATCAGTTCTACTATGAAACTGTTCCCCTTAATTACAGGTCCAATGAGGGCAATCGTCCTTTGCTCTAGTGTTGTTGGCCTATAGTGTCTTGTCTTTTGTCTAGGAGGACAAAACTACCTTTGTTGAGAATAAAGATGCCTCGAATGCAATGAAACGTTGCAATCAATTCCTTCCTCTAAAAATAGCGTTCCTAAAAGGTACGTATATAGGTGTTCTTTCACGTCGCTACGAAGAGCTATCCGATACAGTGTAACGGTAGCTTAAATTCATTCCACCGGGATAAAAACAGTGATATATATGAACACAAAAATAATTCATTCCACTCAGTAAAATTCCCTACAAACCAGGCGCTCATATGTCTTGTTATCTTGCATGCATGCATCTCTCGTCTTCTTCTTGGGAAGTTTATTGTATCCACGTCAAAGACAAAAACACTATATATATATAACAGCAAAACTTGTCCTATATTGTCTGCAAGACCATCTTTGTCTGTCGGCCCACAATATTCGAAGCTTGTCCGATCATCAACTTCCGCCTACGCCAAGACGCCAGGCACACTATTTATAAAAGAAAGACATTTTGTTACTCTTGGACTTCCCTGTCACGTCATCCTCAATCCAAAGCAATTGTGCAATATACCGATGGTAATACAGCTGCATGTCATCATGTTAATTCCTGTACTGTCCGGTCCGTCCCCAGCATATGCATCATGACTAAATTAGTAATATTTCGAAGTTTTGTTGCGAAATGTTGTAAAATGCGGATAATATAGCCAATATAGCCTTGCGAAGTCAGTTGCCGTTTTTCAGTCATTTTGTATTACAAATGGGGAAGTCGATAATCAGTTTGATCATCTGATTATCAATTTCCCCCGCGTAATACAAAATGACTGAAAAACGGCAAACTTCGCAAGGCTATATTATCCGCATTTTACAACATTTCGCAACGAAACTTCGGGAATATTACTAATTTTGTGATGCTCTTTCAAGCTGTGATGAAATTTTTGTCCAGATCAAAATTTCACTCAAAAGGGGAAAGGTCTATTGATTCGACATTCAGTTCCGGCATATATAGCGATGCTGTAGTTTGATATCCCAAACTGTGCGCATTTTTAATATACTCAAACTTCTCTTAGTTTTAGCCTAACTTTGCACTCTTGTTTTGTGTAAATATTTTACTAATAACTGTAAATTTAAATATTTCCAAGTCCCAAAACATGATTGTAAACGATAGACGTATATTTCAATCTCCAGTGGTTGTAAAGTTTGTTTTCAATAAATTCAAAATAATTGCCAGCGCTCTCTCCTTGACCGGAGTAAATCGTCTGGCGTTAGACAGAGTGGAATAATAAACTAGGGTGCACCAAGGCTCAATGCATCCTGAGCCTCCCCCCGAGTTTCTCTCGCACCCCCCACCCCCTAATAGCGCCTGCCACGCAGGCTACCTGAATAAGCGCCCTGGAAAACGTCCAAGTCACGCGTCCAAGCAATGAGTTGTGCGGAATAACGTGATGCGGACATCATTACCATGCACAACATGGCCATAATTGTTGCAAACTTCCGAGTAGTTTTTCGGATGTTGCCAGCTAGTACTGAAGTCATCCTCCAAAATGGGCATGCTGTGTCGCGTTAGACTGGAGAGAATTGAATTCGAAACCTTTCTAAAAGAAAGTATCCCAGAGTATGCTAGTAGGCACTGAAATGTTCAAAGACAAAGATCTCCAATCACAGTGTGCATATCATGTGTTAAAACATCATATACTGTATGTTTATTCAAATATTGTATATAACAGAACTGTCTATAAGCCGCATCTCAAAATGTCTGTGTGGCAATAAATCAGACCATAGCCATAGGCATAAGCTCAGGAAATATTAATTTTATTAATGAAACGTTTCGTTAAAGCGGGTCCCAGCGGGCAAAATGATGTTTATTCAACGTTGAATCAACGTTGGAAATGATCACCCAGACGTTGGATAGACGTTGAAAAAGGATTGATAATGCAAATTGGATTGACGTTACTCTTTTGACGTTGAAACAACGTTCAGATTACGTTGCCAATCTCGTCGACCATAATTCAACGTTGAATCCACGTTGAAACAACGTTGAGAATACTCACTTCACAAGTTGACGTCATATAACCAACCATAAACGAACGTTGATTCGACGTCTGTTTGCTGCTGTTGACCAACGTTTGTAAAACAACGTGAGAGCAACGTTGACATTAGCCGCGGGTTGTCGACGTCGCGACCTTTTTTCAACCAAATTTCAACGTTGAAACAACATCGTGTGCCCGGTGGGATACGATATACTATTTTTGAAAAACCAGTTTAATTTAGTGAAGTGAATGTGGCGATTTTTTCTCAGAACAATTGAAAACATTGCATGGCAATGGGGCATGGGGTATTACTGCAGTAACTATGAATGACATGGCTGGTATATCTCCACGACTTGCCATGCAGTTCTCAATTGATTTGATTCTGTATGATTTTCCTGGGGGTACCATAAAAATAGTTGCCATCTGTTACAGTTTTCTTTTGAAACTGATCAATTTCAACCAAGGTGATCAATGTCGCCTTACAGAATACTTCAAGACTAAAAAATATAAATACTTCAAAAATATAAAGTCGTGTAGCTAGTTTGCGAATTTAAGCTTGTTTTCCTGATTTCAATAATAAAGCTTTTTGTGATTGATTTGCACTGTCATACTAAGTTTCAGAAGTAAAGGGGGGTCTGAGGGCCCTGCCCTCCAAAAATATCAGCATTTTTTAAGCTCTAGGACTGCATTTCTGGAGTTTTCTAAAGCAAATTCGCAAACGAATTGCATCGAAGTCATTGGTGTCATTATTTCTACACTATACCGCTCATGAAACAAAGAAATACGCTACGTTTCGGTTAATTCGGTACGATACGATTAAAGTGGAAAACTGAGTGACTTTAGCTTTATAAATTGAGGTATGGTAGTCGCTTTTCCCTTTCCGACGTAAACGGCAAATCGTTCCAGGTGATCTCGTGTTCGTACTTTAGCCAATCAGCGCTCAGAAAGGGTTGTCCGAATAGAAATCCATTTTGATGTATTCAGTCAATTATATCTTTCGTTATTCTTTATGAAACTAGTTGAAATTTTGTAATTATGTTTGGTTATGAGAACTATAGCTCTGACAAAAATATGGAAGTGAAATAAAGTATATTACAGGAGATATTTAAGTATATTACAGGAGATGTTTTAATCATAAAATGGATTTCTATTTGACAATTAGTGCCAGTACTTTTCCGCGTATCAAGATCATCTGGTTCTTGACCTTGTTTTCTTCGTCCGCATGCATTGCCTCAAGAACAAGATAAGTGCTCTTATAAATTAACACTTGAGATATTGCATTTGTGTCAGACATCGAGAGCAACAATAGTAAGATTCACCTTCAACGACCTAATGTTGTCACGGTGTTCATGTTCATGGAAAAAGAACGTTTTGTAGCATGACGTCATTTAAGGAAAGCGATATCCGAATGTTCATGGTGTCCAAAAAAAAGCTATTTATTGTTTCACATTTTTACACTGTTGATTATTAGTGGGAATTCAAGCTAAGAAATGCATTTTTACACTAAGTACTATTTAAAACACGAGCAGGAATGTTTTTATCACATATCAGTAAAACCACAGCATGGTAGTGATTTCCTTTTCCATTCTGGTCATTTAATTGGCTGATTATGATCACGTGATACGGAATAAAAATTGTATGAAATAAAAATTAGGCGGTTTAGGCCTACCATTTTGCTGAGCGGTTTAAACTATTAAATTCAATCATTCAAAATCCTATTCGTATCGTCATCGTAACTCATTTAACCAGAATTTTCATACTGACACCGACGAATTAAATTCAAATACATAACTCGTGCGAAGCGAGATGGTGCAGGGTGTAAAGATATAATATTTTTTACGATAATGTTGAGTTAAATTACCGCCATTATCATATTAATTTTCACTAAAACATTTTTTTGCACTTTTTTTTGTTGGTTTTAATTATTTTTTAACAATGCACATGTAACAACACAGGTATATTTTCTTTGTATTTAATTCACTTAATTGAAAAATCGATAAAATTTATCAATTTTCAGTATTTTGTGATTCAGTGTAAAGAATCTTAAAGAAAGAATCTTGAAAGAATTTTCAGTATTTTGTGATTCAGTGGAATTTTCCGTTTTACTCGGCTGTCGCTTAAAAAATTTTTTACCAGTGGATTCATAATAATAAACATGGTTATTTGCATAATACTTAACAAGGGATTACAGGGTGAAACTAGCTGAAGAATATAACAATAAGTCAGGTAGTTAGATCCCATAATCCTTTAAGTGGATGGGATTTATCTGTCATATCTAAAATAAACCTCAGGAATCGCTTAGTATTCTATAAATTCGAAGTTGCTGTTGTATAGTACGTATTTAATCTGACAACATTTTACATTGTATTTTTTTAATACAGTTACCATGGTCTGTCAGGATATGGTCTGAAAGCCCAGCAAACTTCAAAGCTGCAAAATGAAAGACCTTTGTTTGATGTTGAACTGTATCTCACCGTGCACAAATCCTTTGTCTCAACTTCATTAAATATATATATTATTCATCGTCGTTGCACGTTTCATCTTAGCTATATCCTTATTGGATGATTACTTCATTATATGAAAAATACAATGAGCTCAATCATCGTGACCGTGCAAAATGGCGGATAGGCAGCTTATGACGAAACTTTTGTCTGGACAAGAAGAACGATACCATATTTACCATAGCTGAAAAGAGCATCTTAAAATGAGCAAAATTGCAAAGTTTGGTTGCGAATTGTTGTAAAATGAGGAAAATATAGCCCTGTGAAGTTCGCAAATATATTTATTGGCAAATATATATTTGCGTTACGCGCGGGAAAAATAACCATTTTTGAGCCGAAAGTGCCGGGTTATTTTTATTTATAGTTTTTTTACCACGCGTAATACAAATATATACAAAATTTGCGAACTTCACATGCAGGGCTATATTTTCCTCATTTTACAACATTTTGCAACCAATTAATCTTTGCAGTTTTACTCATTCTAAGACGCTCTTTAGTTCTACAGCTGTGGTGTTGGATTTCATTCTTCTTGCCTTGATCAAAATTTAGTCTATATCTGGAATCACCATTAACATAAACTCAAACAAAAACATAATACAATTACTTCTGTTTAGTTTCCACATCATCATATCTTGAAAGACTATGGGTGTACATCTGCCTCGTCCCTCGTCGCTTCAGTTGGAATAGAGATCAGTGGAAAACAATGGGAGCGCGGGCGACCGCGCGTACGGATAACGGATGAGGGACTGTGGAAGAGTCAGGGTATACATATGACCACACTCTCTAACAATACGCACTCTGGTTAAAATTTCCTGATTAACTTAGAAATAACACACATTGCCGGCAAATAAACTATTCTACTGAATTATTTTTACCGTAATTATTTTTAATTTAATTTTTTTATTTATTTATTCAACTTACTCAACTTCGACAGATAAAATTACACGAATGGCATGGATACAATACCAATACAATATTATACCATAGTGTCGAATGGTGGATACACCACAACATGCAGTTAAAACCAATTACTATGGGCCCTTTTAACATATAAGTTACATATACGAATATCTAGAAACAACTATTATAGAGTTATTTCTATTAATATCAGGTGTTACGGAGATAATATTACGTACTATTATCTCTAACACTTTTTAATCCTCCTTGTCCTCACAGAACCCTTCGTTTCTTCTTGGTTGCACATCGCCATACATTGTGTCATTGGGTGCTATTGAATTAAAACAGATTATAAAGGCCCATTTATATTTGCAATTGACGATTCCCCTTATTACGTTTTCGTAGCGCTTTGCATTGTGGTTATAGTGGTATCACTGATATTCAAGATGGCTTAATTTTTGTCCTGACCCGTGCAAGAACTTTTAAAAAAGCTAGGGTCAGGTGCGCGACAGCTATAACAGCAAAATATTCGCGAAAATATCCAATATTTTCGTTCGAGGCCGCTATCTTTATCAGTGATACCACTATAACCACAATGCAAAGCGCTACGAAAACGTAATAAGGGGAATCATCAATAGACAATTCCCATTATAGACTAATTTTAAAACTAGGCAAGGAGATGCAAATAAATCACCACAGCCAGAAAGAGCATACTAAAATTAGTAAAATTACAAACTTTGGTTGCGAAATGTTGTAAAATGTGGAAAATATAGCCTTGCAAAGTTTGCAAATTTTGTATACTTTTGTATTGCGTGTGACATTTTCGGCCTAAATGTGGTAGGAATGTGGTAGGAATTTCCGCAAGCAATACAAAAGTATACAAAATTTGCGAACTTTGCAAGGCTATATTTTCCTCATTTTACAACATTTCGCAACCAAACTTTGTAATTTTACTAATTTTAGTATGTTCTTTCTAGCTGTGGTGATTTATTTGAGTTTCCTTACCTAATTTTAAAATTAGTCTATAATGGGAATTGTCTATTGTTGCTGCGATTAATTTCTAGTGCGGTTTTCTTCTTCTGATGCATGTGACGAGTCACGAGTGGATGAATTATGAATGTTCTGATGAAGGTACATTTAATTAAATTCAGAACATTAAGAAAAAATCGCACTAGAAATCGCAGCAAAAATTACAAATGTAAACGGGTCTTAATAAGCGGTCAGACATTGCTTTCTCTTAAAGTATTGATTCGTTTGAGAAGCCACTTCTAACACAAGTAATTAGGTACGTTTACACGCTGCGATTTGTCGGGCCGATTTTGCTCGCTGTATGTAAGTACTCGCGTCAGCGCTTTGCGATTCACAAAATCGGGAGAAAAATCTGTAACAAAACCACAGATTTTTCTCACGATTCAACGATTTTTCTTCCGTTGTAAAGTTGTTGAAAACTTTTCGCACGCAGAAAACTATAACATGAACAGACGAGAGAGCGGACAGCTTCAATTGAACTTTTAAATCGCTAAATGTCGAAGAAGGGGCATCGATTATTTACCAAAATCGGCCCGACAAATCGCAGCGTGTAAACGTAGCTTAAAATCACAAAATAGACCACCTGATATGGCAGCTGACATGCACGTCAAGAATAGAGAAAGTGTAGAAATCAGTCCAGTCCAACTTTTCAGTCCAGTCCAACTGTCAGTCCATGTTTTGTACTATGCCAGTTGGGCAGGGAACTTCGCAACGAAGTTCGCAAGTTCATTTAAAAGTTCGAACTTCGATTGTAAACAAATGTAAACACAGCTAATGTAGTCCATGGGATTGCTTAGAGGAACAGTTCTTTCGAACTCGGAATACATTTGATACCAAACGAAACATGACATGTCAAAAAGTGTTTCAAAATAATTTCTTTGTGTTTCTGATGGTTCAGGATACTTTAAAATATTGCATGCTTCAACGATTGCTTTCCACATCACTTCATGATTCAGCATTGCCAGAGCCTGTTCTGCATAATTCACCCAGCGCTCTTCTTCATCTAAAACTTCAACTCGCTGTCCAAACCTGGACTGTTGATTACCATCAATTTCATCTTGATTTATACGTGTCTCCTCTTCCAGTTCTTGAATTTGACGGTAATATGATCGTTTTTGGAAGTTTTTCAGGAGTGAACAATGGACCATTTGCATTATAGACTAAATTTTGATCTAGACAAAAATTTCATCACAACTTGAAAGAGCATCACAAAATTAGTAATATTCCAAAGTTTCGTTGTGAAATATTGTAAAATGCGGATAATATAGCCTTGCGAAGTTTTCCGTTTTTCAGTCATTTTGTATTACGCACGGGAAATTGAAAGCCCAAACGGGTGTTGCATGGGGCATCAATTTCCTGTTTGTAATACAAAATGACTGAAAATTGCAAATTTCGCAAGGCTATATTATCCGCATTTTACAACATTTCGCAACGAAACTTTGGAATATTACTGGCTAATTTTGTGATGCTCTTTCAAGCTGTGATGAAATTTTTGGCTACATCAATTTAGTCTATAATGCAAATGGTCCATTGAGGTATGCCGATTTGAATTTTTTTTTATAAGAAAACTATATAGCTACCATTTTCAGTATAGAATAAGAAAAATATATACCATTTTATGAGAAAAATTACATACCATTTTATAGACCGAGTTAAATAACTTATATATAATACTGAAAAAATTATTGGAGCAACTTTTGATCAAGAAGTTTTTTAAAATAGTCCGTGAAAAGTCGGCCTGTTCCGTCTCAATTAGGTCATTTTTTCTGCTATTTGCGAGTCAGTGATTTACTTACATCGTTACACAACGGGCTTGGCTCGTCATGTAAGTGCTATACTACCAAGTTTATTTAATTGTAAACAATGACATTGGATCCTTTCACTCAGAAAAACTGTTTTTTAAAGAGAGCAAATAAATGCGAATTGTATTTCAAAATTAACACATAGATGAAGCACCTGTTCTGGGGTTCTGGAGTTTGTCTTTCAGTTTGAGATTTGGGACTGGGATTTTGTTTAAGATTAATGGTTGGAAATGAGATTAAGAGGAAAAAGTGGGCTGGAAAATGTTTACTTCGACCTCCTCCAGACCCTCAAAAAAGAATAATTTGCTAATGTTAAACTTGAGACTATCACTACCTCGATCAAAGTCTTCAGTTTGTACCCATTTGTGCTTGACATCTTTTCGTTCAATATAGACTTCATACACATCATCCGTGGTTGTCGTAGATCTCTCCCTCATATTTAAAGTTTCCATCGTACGAACTCTTTCTTGGGGTTCAACAGGTGTAGTATAATACTCGTACACCTAAAAGAAAGATACAATACATTTTGGAACAACATTTCGCCTTCGATTTGTGCCCAAAATTCCTCCATCTTGTTTTCCCTGCATAGACCGCGATTCAAAGTTTCGACTATCCAAATGGCACGTCAGAAAAGACTTAATACTTGACACTTAAATTTACATGCAATATTGCATGAGCGAGATACAACCAAAATAAAAATATTATTTAACAAGTATATAACTACATCGGTAATATAAGGTTGTTCTATATGCTAATTTTTGGCATTTTCAAAAACAGTAGTTTAACGTTCAAACATCAATAGCGCAGTCTATTTTACATGTAAATTCAAGTGCTATATACCAAAATCCAAGTTAGTTTTTTCTAAATGCAATGGTCTTTATTTCATTGCGATAGCTTTTATAGCTTTTACGTTCTTTGAAATCAAACAGTATCCAGTTTTTTGGAAGACACCCGGTATTTAATCACTAACGTTAAAATTAAAGTTCACGGATTTCTAATCCAAATGGGATTTATTTTCAATACTTTTTGCACCCAATTCCCAATGGTGGAAGAATGGGATTTCAAACGGCAACTTTTGTTCTATATAATCAACGGTTTTCAACTGGTTTTCTCATGTGTCTCTGATTTCACATGATTGAATTACCACGTCCCCTGAACAGAAATTACCCACTGAAGTCTATCAAAAACACGAATTTCAAAATAGTTAGTAAAATAGTAAATGATTTAAATTTTAAATAATAGATAGAAAGTCAAGCAAACATGTTTATAGTACAAACTATTGTATTCAACTATTGTATTCAACTATTGTTTTCTCAGTCCTAGACCAGTTTGTGTCCCCTAGGAATTTGCCAAATGTCCCCTCGGGGACATGTTCCCCAAGTTGAAAACCCATGTATATAATGATATGATAGTATCATTGGACAGTAAATTTTTAAAATCCTGAATTTTGCTGCTGTGTGAACATTTTATCAATAAACTCCGAATATCTAACGCAAGCGAACACGATAAACTTAGATTTCCTTTTTTTATACGCCTTGCACATTTACCTTGGGCAAAAACACCATGGTCAGAGTGACGGTTGTGGAAAGCAAAACAACAACAGACACCAGTACGTGAAGTAACTCATAATATTCTGTCTTCTTTAAAACCATCGACACTGTTGCACCAATGGCTGACAATATGACGACATTGTAGACTGACATTCCGATGTACTTGGAGTCATTTAATGCAGGGATTGTCACATTTCGTGTCTCCCACGCGAGGAACACGCCAAACAGCAAGAGGATTCCTTTGTATCCGTACAAAGCACCAAGCAGTTTTGTTCTGTGAGTGCACTCACAGATTTTTAGAACTGGAATTGTGATCAAATCATTTGAATATTCAATCTGTGGTAAACAAAGTGGAAACTGAGTTTTTTTCAAAAATATAATATATCGTTGTGGATGCAAGCGTTGTGGAATTTGCAATATTGATACTAATGACATGGTCATGATGAAAATGCTTATAACGATCATAAATGTAATTTTAGTTTTCATAAATTTTATTTGGATCAATAATGCATACAATATATTATCAAGTCTAAGAATAACAGTTACATAAGAAGAAATAACTTTTACATCCAAAAAGGTACGAACGGGACTCCCGAAGAAAAAGGAGATGATCAGCATATGCTATAGTAATGGCACTTGCCAGCAATTTAGATTTTATGTATTTAAATGTTAATAAACATATTCATTTACTATAACTGTATATTAAAAATTTTTAAATGGAAGAATGAATGAATTTGTTTTGTGCTCAAAACAATGTTAAACTGGTATACATGCACATATAGAATAGAAAACGTATTAGATTATTTACAAACAGATTAGAATTGATTAATAAGTTTTGTTAGGACATCGAAGCAATACCTGACCACCAATCTACACCCGGATTTGACTTTCATTGCAATAACATACATAAACAAGTCATGGTTATTAAAAAAACGAAACGAGTGATTTATTTGGTTAAACTTACAGATAAAATCTGCTCTACTAATTTCAGAAATATATTTTTTTGTCAAATTCCAAATTTATTTATATGACATGCTATTTACCAGACGTTATCACAATTAAAACATACCAAGTCATCGAAAACGATGTCTTCAGGTTCCAATGCATCGTAACAGATCCAAACAGTAATAAACACAACATCAATGAGAACAAGAACCAAGACAAACAAAATGAGATGAAAATCTTGCATCATCTGAAAAAAACTCACGTGTTAGGACAAGGGCTTATAATAATATATAAGAAGTTACCAAGGTCAGCATATGCATGAATTATACCGATCACCTTTTTTTTGAGAGCACGTTGAGCTGTAAATATTTTGTGTACTCGCCATGTTTTGCTGAATAATGCACCAAAAGCCAACGAAAATGCAATTGCCAGGACATACAGACGGACCTGCATAAAAATATTAATATATATACAGGTATTCAAAACTATAAATATTTTTGTATTATTTATAGCACATTTAAAAAACTGGCTTGATTTCACACAAAATAATAAATACCCAAATGGCAATTTGTTGGTAGGTTCGATCAAATTAATCATTTAGCTTATTTTTCGTAAAGAGTTTTATTATGAGGTTCTACAGACCTGCAATGACGCAATGTTAACACAATTTTGGCGTATAGTGGCAACACCAAGAAGTTTAGAGTGTATATACAATGCAGTATAAATTAAAAAGCACCATTGTGTATTTCATTACTTAAATCCTTCTTCAAGCTTCATTGCAAGTTTGTTTATTGATAAGGTGCTGCATCGGTGCTCACTGCTCAGTGATTTTATCGCGCAGATAATGGAATTGTAAATTTAATATCCTGGCTTACGTTGCATAAAATTCCAAAGACGTGATCATCAACGAATCTTGAATCAATTCCCAACAAGAAAACGAAAACATAACAAAAGACACAACCAAGTAGAACGACATTGTTTATCATTGGAGATGACATTCGAACCACTCTGGCAGAAAAAAATACTATATACTATAGTTGCACTTTTAGCAACTGAATGCTTCTGGTTAGGGCCTATAGTTGCATTTTTCTTTTCATCTCATAATGAGATCTATACAGTTGGTTATGGCTCTCAAGCAAGATTAATAACTTACTTGTGACTTCTTTTGCTGATATTGAAATAAAGAAAGCCCAGAGAATAGATCAGACCAAGAAGAACAAAAACACCGATAATGATCAACTGCACCAAAGAATAAGTCAAAACTTTACGTTCTTTGCTTGTCTCGTCAACTGGAACTTTACCGTCTGAAATTACATGTAGCTAATATTGATAAACTTTAACAATTATAATTGGTTTGGTGTGAAATCTGGCAGACATGTAAATATTAACGTCTGAATTTCTCCGACTAAAACATTTATCGATGGTACTTGGCAAATTGAGCGGCAGTTATTTCGGCATGGATATATTCAACACCGAAATTAAGTTTGAGGATTCATGGTGAAACACAGGAAATGTTGTAAGGGAATTTTATCACAGCACAAAGAGCAAAAAAAGAACTGAGGTTTCGAATTTTGAAGGAAAGACGTCGTTGGCCTACTCTTACAAGAGTATTTCCACGTTTCTGGCGTCCCTTGAGTACAGACAAGGATGGATCCACTTTGCAACTTTTAGATCTTCCATGATGAAGATACTAGACTAAGATGTCGAACCGTTGTGTGGAAAACGTAGTTTCTTTCGTGGATTGTATGTTTTATTTAATCCAGAGTATCAAGAGAAAGTATGGAATGATGATGATAATCTTTGCAAATATTTCTCGTGAATTTCCTACCAGATTTGTACTCAAAACCCTGCCATGATGGTCTATAGTGAAGCCCAGCAAACTGCAAAGCTACAAAATAGAAGACCTTTGTTGAATTGTACCTCACCGATTCATTAAATATTATTCACAGTGGTTGGACGTTTCAATTCATCTCAGCTATCGCTATTGGACGGTTACTAAACCATTTATACGAAAAGGCAATGAACTCAATCACCGTGATCGTGCACAAATTAACCGCATAAAGTAAAAAAAACACATGATAAACAGAAATCATTGGTGTAACATACATGTTCGGTGTACCAAACACGAGATTGCGTGGGAAAACTCTAAAGTAATTACCACAAACAATCGCTATGGTCAAAGACTTTGCCTAGAAGCGTGGCATATAAATATGAGTCATCATGCATTGAATAGGGATGACGGTGCCTATTTGCCAGAGGAATATATGCATCTTCTTGGCAGGTGACGTCATCCCTTCGGTATTTAAGAAGCCACGATCGCAGTTTTAGATCACCCCTGATGAAGACACTAGACTGGAGTGTCCGGAAACGTTGGGTCTTGATTACAATTCGACTGGGCTTTGTAATCATTTATTTAAACCAGAGTAGCGAGCGAAACATGATTGATATACCTGGGGCCGGTTGTATAAAAACGTAGTTAGCGCTAACTGTAGTTAGCGTTAAGGTTACAGGAGACCCTACGCGCAGGTTTCGGGAGATTTACCATTACTCGGCGAATTTTTATCCAATTTCTCTCAAATTTTCTCCAAATATAGTCCGATAGATGAAAAAAAACATAGGGTTATAAAATATATCAGAAAGAAATAACTTTCCCGAATATTGTTACAAGTTTAAGTTTATGGGACCTTCGCGCAGCGAGCTACGTTAGATGTAGGTTTCACTAAAATCCTGTCAATCTATCATTTTTACTCTTCTCGAGTATTGCACTAAAAAAGGGTGTTCGCATTTTATCGTTGCTTCAGGGGTTACATAGCTAAGACATGTTCTTTCCCGACCTGTGTTATATTGCAACGAATGCAAGAAAAAGGTCTGTAATTTTGCAACTAAAGGCTTGTAAAACTCGCGCGAACACCCTTTTGTAGCCAAGACATACACCTACAGTGTGTGCAAATTTCAGAACGATCGGTTAAAACGCACGACTAACCAAGCTTTTTTAGTGCGTGTTTACGACTCAAAATTAATGTATCTGATAATTGACTTTAAACATTTCGCGGGGTGTTTTGAAGTTCTGTCTATTTTTCCCCACTAATTAATTCAATTGTTGTTAACCAATTACAACGCGTGTGGCAAGTGATGTTCCGTATAAATTATGGCAAGCGATGTATTTTATGTAAACTTCCGTATAAATTATACTGTAACACTTTTGTCAAGCAAGTCACAGAAGTCACTATAAAACTACTAGTCATGCCTCCAAAGCGAAAACGCAAGGCTGAGCCTGTGTCCATAAATAAAGATAAACCCGCGACGAAAAAGCGACGAAAGACAAGGAAGAAATGCCCTTCAAAAGTAGATAGTTTTACTGAAGCAGATCGTGATGTGGACTACAAACAAATATTGCTCTCAACGATGAGAGATGAAGGGTATGTTGTTTCGCTTTGTTCTTTTCTTGTTCGATTTGAACATAATATTTTTAGCAGTTCCGAGTTCGTTTACATACACAGCATTTAATACAGCAACATATTTTTTACTAGTTATGACGGAACACATTTCATCAGTCAACTTGAAATTGGCGTCGAAGATCGACTCAAGAAGCGGGGTAAACCTCCTAGAATGGTACGATATTTCTTCTATTGTGGATGGGCACACGCACTGATCGTAAGTATTAAAGAAGATTTCATAGTTGAATCTTTAGTTACCAAGCGTGCATGGTCTTCACGCAACAAAATTTTTGCTTGATTCTAGAAAAATGGAGTTGGTCCTGATAATAGCGAATATGCTTTTCCAAGAGAAGTCCTACAATTCCTGAGATACATCGCACCAGGTGATATCAAGGGAGAGATAAGAGAAGTGAGTTTTTCTGACTTTTGTTTCCAGTTTGGGTTGGAAAAGTTGCCAATATTTATGCATGCATGGGCCATCAACCATGTCTTTTACACAAAATATTATAAAATGCTTATGCCTATCTCTTTCCCAATTTTTATATTAACATTTATACATGGAGACTTGGTCTGAAAATATGAATGACATGAATATGTTTACACTTTTCAAAATTAATGTTTTTTTACAAAAGAACATAGTGTTTGCAATTCATAATTATTGATATTGTATATACAACTTTGACAGTAGAATTGACTTCATTAATAGATATATAATAAAAATATCTTTATACATTGTACCCCTTCTTTATATTTTGATTTGTATTCTTTATATAGGATGCATACACTGTTCAGATGGATGACTTTTGTGAAACCTTGAAACTTCCAAAGTTGTGACTGTATATATATATGTATATATATATATGCCTACTAAGAACAATTCTGTGACTGTTGGAATGTACTTGTCATAAGACACCTCCACCCATGGAGCATATATGAGGGATGGGTGGTGATTTACTTGTCAAGCTTCCCCCCATTTCCCCTGTATCTTGATCAGTTTTTACTCGATTAATACCAAACTTCAGGATTTTGTATAGGTTGATTGTGCTCTTTCTGATTATGTGGGTTTTATGTCGATAATCATAATATTTAGGGACTC